ATGCACAGCTGCAATGGATGCAATGTACTGATACACGTGCTTCCTACTGTTTACGTTCACTTAAGACGTTATCAACTGTGTTTACGTGAATACTCGTCAAAACAGACAATTCGACATCATTCTGTTTGTATTTCTCCGTTCATGCGACGCTTAAGAGTACTCGCGCGCTGTGAGAGGCGCTTTCTGTGTGTGTGCTTCAGTGTCTGCACTCTGAAAACCAGACCGAATTGAGTTCTCTCTTGCGTCGTCAGATTGATCCATATGTCTGCTCTTCTCTTACTCCCCCATATTTACATTTTTGAACGTTTTATGCGACATGCAGCAAGTGTATGTTAGCTTATGTCCCGCCGGTTCATATGTACGCATCTAACCTCCGAACTATGCAGCAGATTCGTTCTGAATTAATCTCTTCCCAAATCGTCCCTCCCTAACATTTTCGTCTCGTTTTTATTCGTTGCCGAAAATGTCAATAGATTTATGTCATAGTTTTTGTCATTCAAAAAGAGTTTTAGTTCGTTATCGTCTCGTTGTCGTCAGTGAAAAAAATGTCGTTGACGAAAATTATTCGTCAACGAAATGAACACTACTTATCATTTTAAGAGGTCTTAAATTTAGGGACAAAAAAAACAGCAGTTGCAATAAGGCCTAATGTTGTTATTAAACTTGAAAAGAGTGATAAATGTGAGTGCTGCATGTTTCAATGTAAAAATGCTGCACTGTTTCACATTCTACAGACTCTGTTTCAGAGCAGCCGAATGCCAAACGATTGCTTATGATCTACTGCTGATGAATTATGACATGTTTGCTTCATGGAGTTTATATTGTAATATGTTGTAGATGGTTGTAAGAGTGCATATTTTACAATAATACAATATACTGCAACTGGCATTTAAAAATACAATATTATATTCAATATACTAGTAATGGCAGTATAATCTTTGTATTGGGTTTTTAAATCATCATCAAAATCCAATGTCCGTCGAACTCTAATTTGTGTTTGCTATCATTTTGTGTTATGGTTATTATTTAATTAATTTGTGACTTCATCCAAATTGATTTTAGGCTTGTGATTTCATAAAGATATTGGATGTCAAAATATGTTCTCAAATGTAATCAAGAATGTTGTGCTTTGTGGATGGGTAATGTAGTAACACAGTCACGGTTCAGCTCAAAAGCACCAGTTCTGTTGGAGAGGGGCAGCAGAGACTACTTTCTGAAGCCACATAACGGACAAATAACATCCGATCTCCATTTCCTTTCCAGCTGATGATGTACGTGCAGAAGGTGATCGCCAACCGTAAGGTGCAGGAGCAGCAGCTGGCCATGGCGAGGCAGGGTCTGCTGCTCAATCAGCTGGCCATGCAGAACGGTCTTGGGGCCCCTATGAATCAGATGGATCTGCTGGGGTTGTACCAGCAGCTCGGGGCGCTCCAGGGCCTCCCCTCCGCACAGCTGGGCAAGAACCCGGGCCCGTCTAAGGGCCTGTAGATGCCTCCGCCCCTCGGTGTACACACAGCTGGACTGATACAGCCAGGACACCTACTTGAGCTCCTCGGTAACGAGAGGGGATCCTGGGACTTTCTTAAAGGGGTTTTTGGCAGTGCAGTTTGTCATTTTGTGTGTATATAGCCTTAATGTTGTTCAATTTTTTTTTTTTTTCCCTCTCTCACGTATTTAAGATTGAAGAAGATATTATCCCCAAATGCTTTTAGGCATTGCAGGTTTCTTTCCCCTTAAATAAGGGACGTGCATATATAAATAATTATATTGCAATGAAAACAGCGTGACTGAGGAGGGACCATAGCGTTTCTGTTCTAAAGCCCCCGTAAATACTATCTACGCTAATATCTTCCTAGTAGTGGATTGTCATTGGTACTTTGCTAGCCAGTGCTCCAGAGACACTGCAGCGGACACCTTAAATGTATCGTCAAGTCAAATGGCCTTATATCAAGCAGCTAGATCTCTTCTAATGTTTTAAAACCCCTTTTTCTAATCTGCTTTTAGGTATTTAAACTCGTTGTTGCTAATCATGCTATGGAATGTCTGTGTTGTTAAAACTGCTTGCTGAATTCCTCCGGACTTTTGTAACATCAGACTTCTCGTTGTAGTGTTGCCTAGCATATTGTTGTGAGTACTGTTCATAATTTCTTTTTCTGTTTATTTTTCTGTTTCTTTTCCCCACTTGCATTGGGATTGCGCCTGAGTTGGCGTGTGGCGGGAGAGCTAGATACATGTTTGTGTGGTTTAACTGAACTTCAAACCTGTTCTGATTATATAATAATGCTAACACTTTCCTTATCAGGTTAGTGCTCAGGCTGTATTCTGTTCTTGGGCACATCTCCACTTCGGATGCTAAACTAGATGTTTTTCATTGGCGAACATAAGACCTTTGACATCCACAGGGTGTCATTCAGAAATGTAGAGGAAGCTTTTTCCCTCCTGAAAAGGTTCTAATGTAAGCATATACACCAACAACTTCTGCCATTAATATGATCTGCTACTTAGAATTTAATATCACATTTAAATAAAGTGACCAAAAGGATGAGTTACATGACGGTCTTGTTTTTTTTTTTTTGTGCAATGTCAGTTGTGCAATTTCTGCAGAACTACTGGCAAATATTATATGTACAAATCCATTTGCAAAATGCTCAAAAACAATGGGAATTAACAAATTCTTTGACATTTTCATGATTTTTTTTTTTTAAAGGTTGAATATAAATTATTCTATTTATGCTTAGTTTTAAGATATTTTGTCAAGAAGAAATTGCCGTTTGCAACTGCAAATGTATACACTGAACCATAGTAGTGGAATAGTCATGGGAATTCTTAAATACTTTAACATTTTTAACTTTTATATGAACGCTTATATTTGTTACATTACCTTCAGTTTCATCAATTTTGAGAATCGTCTAGAGTTGTCTAGAGTTCTGAGAAGATGCATTGCTTATAGTAGCAATTGTCATGGGTTCTTAAATAAATCGGGTTCTTGGGTGATACTTCAAGTTTGCATGCTATTTGTGAACTCGTATGAAATTGACTTACGAGTCAGAAGGCATATATTGTTTGAGTAATCCCCCCCCTTCTTTTTATTTAAACTTTACACACATACAGTACCTAACTATATGTTGGCAACCTTGAACTCTAGACTGTGGTTTTACTTACTACTTTTGGGACAGATGCATACTGGCTAGTTGTTTCTTATGCATGTTAAAATGTCGACGAGTGGGGGCGGGGCCGAGAGCCGTGGGAACAGAGCGAGGCCGGTGGAGTAATTGATAATGAGCGACACCTGCACCACTCACCGGTCTCGAGTCCCACGGAGGAGCTCCGGAAGTATAAAAGAAGGAGTTACGACAGTGAAAGGAGAGAGGACCAGGCCTGGATTTTATTTTGTGTTTTGGTTTTGTTTGTGCGCGACAGTCGTCCGCAAGGGGCTGTCGCGCTATTTTGTGTTTGTTTACTTTATTAAAGTTTTCTTTAAATGTTCGCCGGTTCCCGCCGCCTTCTTCCCGAACTACGAACGTTGTTACAGTGCCACTCCCTTCCCATGATGCAGCAGTGCAGTGGACAGTCAGATGAGGTCACCATAAGACAAGAGAAACTTGTGCCCCTGATTTTAGCCGATACTAGGAAGTTGTGTAGTTGGAGTATTAGTGACTACTTAAACAGTTACTCATTTTCATGAGAGCGTATATATGAGATCCATGACACCAATACCAAATTTCAGATGCGTTTTCTCTAGACAGCTCTTAGCTTTTACACCCTGAGAATCTGTCTCCTCCCATACACCCCATTCTTCCCCTTCAGTCTTTCATCTGCTGTGTCGTTTCTACTGCTTGCTATTATTTTCATTTCTTTAGCTGCCAGGGTTTTTCTCCCCCTCTTTTCCATTCGCGTTCACAGCTTGCAGAAAGCTGCCAAAAGTGAAACATTACAACTATTGCAGATGTTGAAATGTTGATCCCATCCTTGGTATGCCCAGATTACCACTCGGCTAGCTTTGCAGCACCGGGCAGCTGTTGCCCCATCTATCCTCCAATGTTAAAACCTGCTTCCGTTCACATGAACATGCACTATACACTTCGTATCTGAAAGTATTCGAGCGTGCTGGCTGCAAAGCTAACTACTGATCATCCGAGCAGGAACGAGCCAAGCATGTTGTCAAGGCATCGGTGGTGGGTGGGGTTGTGAATGTTTGTAAATCTGAATTGTTTTGTTCGTTTCTGATGATGTAAGTTGACTGAAACCCTATAGAAGTCCATTCAGGGCAACATCAGTGCTGGTCCAAATCTTCATTCAATCACCAAGGGGGTTTTGTGTTGATGTGTTTTACAATGCATCCGATTCACAAGAAAACTCATTAATAGTTCTACGTATGTTATCACTATTATAGAGGTAATTAATGTTGCTATGCTGCAGACTTTTCAACAGGTTTGACACCCACTAGCGCAACATGTTCTCTTGTATTGTTTCGCTTTCTGTAGGGCGTTGATTTATGCCTCTACAGACTGCTTGGGGAGAACTTTCCCACAGGTTCCCCGAGCCAAGAGCTGTCTTTTTACATCATCAGCTAACATCCACATCTCTGGAGAGCTGGATTATTCTGTGAATGCTGCTGTGATGTTCTGGAATTTACGCTGTACTAGATAAACAACATTTCATAGATTGATTGACCCCTTACTGAAGATTTTCTGAAAGAGGTATCAAATGTGTCCTACTTTGAAGACAACATGAAGTCAAAATTCACTCTACGTTCTTTGACTCGACTATTCCAAAGAAGAAAATGTTTGTTTTTGTAATCAATCATCAACACGTAATAACTTGCTCTGCCTCTGAACAAGGGCCACACTAGATTTTCATTGAATACTGTTTTACTTGCAAATACAGTAGCTTATAGATAGAAGTACAATGGTTTGCGACTGCCATATCATGTTGACTTAAATAGCTAGTGCTCTCACAGCTTTCAGCATTTTGTGTGTCTGTGTTGTTTAGCAAAGACGACCATTCAGTCCATGACAGTACCTGAAAAGTTGTGTGCGCAGTCAAACTCAATCAGCTCAGTGTTTCTCAGATTTTAATTGGTACAGAGAATCCTTGCAAATATGGTCACCAACAATAAACAATAGCAGGACAATTTTATTGTCAGTCATTCAGGTCAAATGGTTTAGCCCTTCTGAATAATCTCAGTAGAATCTACAATTCCAATAACTTCAAGTTCATTACAAAATAGAGCCTTTGAAATAAATAAATATATTTATATAGAGATTTATAATTATTCTTTATATGTAGAAAATAAATATATAGTACATCTTATAAATAGGTTTGCCCATATTTACATGTCTTTCACTTACATTTTAATAATGTTCCTGACAACCTGAAGTCACTCTTAGTCAAATGACCAAAGCCTCTACCGAACACTTCAGCAAGCATCATTCATTTCCCCTGCTTGAAAGTGATTCATTTCTACTAATCACTTTGATACTGCTGATTTGCTTTTTCTACCAAATTTGTAAGGTTTGAACTCTTCTGAAACTTCAAAAGAAGCAAACAGAAGATCATCTGTGTAAGCCCCTCTTTACTTATTACTTATTTTCCATCTCACAATTGGTAATTTTTCCATTCAAAATTGGTATTGTTTCAGTAGAAGCTGGTCATAGTTCTTCAAAGCATCTTTCTCCTTTTAAGTGCCCTTACAGGTATATTTAATTTGAAAAGCTCTTGCTTTGCATTTGTCCTACAGGAAGGTCGGCGATTACTCCCCATGTCCATCTTCATGGTAAGTGCTGCATCATTACCTTTCAACTAAAGTTTGGCCCCAGGGTCACCAGACTGGGCATGTTGAGTTTTATCTCAATGGTCAAAGGCAGTTTTACTACCACCTATGCTCAGGTGACAAGTTACTCAATAAATTTAGGTTTAGACCCTCTTTTTTCCAATGAGAACATGCCCAAAATGTGGTCCACTTTACAAAAAGTGTCTGAAGAAAGGGTGATTGCATGACACACGTCAAGAGGCCCTGAAGTCAACACCTCTTCCTCAAGACATCTTTTGGCACCAGCTTTGGATGCAGGAATGTTCCCTCTTCTATGTGGTTTAAAACCCATTAAGGAGAGGAAACGGAGCCATCCAGGACACACACATACTGTTTATCTCAATCACCATTGGAGAGGGCCTCCTCATTTTGGACCAGAACCCAAATATAAACAGCTGCGAGGCGAGAGAAGTAGGGTCTTGTATTTCTTAATGTTCTTCAGCGTCCGTCTTTCCCATCCAGCACCTCAACTGCGCCTCTCCAACACAGCAACTCTGACAGATGCTCTGGTCACCTATGCTGGAACAAGTCTCTGTAAGCTTGGGGTATCTTCTCAATCTCGACAGGTCTGGGCAGGAAGTGAGTCAACTTCTGATGCTTTTTAGTCCTGCTTCCTTCTCGAGGCGAGCCGTCCTTGTTCAGGGCCAAGTAATAGTATCTTCCAGTGTCCGCATGCTTGTAGAGTGTGGATGCATACGTGTTGTACCAGTTCTCCTCAAATTGCTCACGGAAAACACACTCTGCTGTCAGCTTCTTCTGCAAGGCAGCCAGAAAGAGACAAAAACATTGTTGATTATCTGGAAGCGAAATGTGCACTATAATATAATGCTCAGTTAGAGTTATTGGAAAGATCTTGTGTCCTACCATGATAAATAAGCTTCTTGTACACTAGGGGGGTCAAGTCCTGCTCCTGGAGGGCCATCTTCCTACAGAGTTTAGCTTTAACCCCAATTAAACACACCTGAACCAACTAATCAAGGTCTTCAGAATTGCCAGAAACTTGCTGGAGCAAGTTTAGTCAAGAAGGTGGGCCTCCAGGAGCAGGATTTGGCCACCCTGATCTACACAAACTGTTAAAGACAAGATGTGAATCAAAGTGGGAAACGTCCCAACCAAAAATCCTACGTTGTGATCTCTAGCTAGTAATCTATGCTCTGTCCGTCAAGAGTGCAGCTTAAGTGCATTTGACCACATGTTTAAGAACTAACATGCGCCTCCCATTTCCAGACCTCCAGATGTGCTGGAAAGCATAAGGGTGTGAAGACGTGGTACTGTTTCTTTCTCACAGTGCACAGTTTACCCTTGTCACCATCGCAAAATGTGTGGAGTGGAAACTATCTTGAGGCCAGACAGCAGGTGCTCGCTGCACTCGAGAAGGGAAAGTCATTACGGGCAAGCTTTGCAG